GCCATGAAAGGTTATTGATCACTTTTAGAGTCACTAGAATTGGAGATTTTGAAGTAGCTTGCAGAATCAGCCAACTTGCAACTTGAGTAGCTTTTCGTTCTCTATCTTTATTTCTCAGCTTTTGTGCAACCTTCCTGATCTCAAAATCAAATAGCAGTTTATTTATGCAAGAAGAACGGGACACAATCAGAGGACTAATCTTCACATGGATTATGTGATTCACTCTCTTATGTTTGATGCAATAAATAAAATATGGGATTTTTATATATATTATCTATTAAAATAAAATAAGATTACAATTAAACTAATTGAGGACTACTTATCAAAGGAGAATGTCTGGCTCTGAAGATAATGAAGTTAATCCCTGGTATTTATATTTTATCATTAATTTAATAAATTTAGTTCTCGTTAGACTATAGATAAATTAGTTATAGCTATCAATAAACTTATAAAACTAGTTTCTTCTTACAATGTAGGCAATTAAGACACACCCATCAACTATTCATAGTTAAGCTAATAAACTTAGATACGCTCATAGAAATTATTTTCTAATCATATTTCAATCTAGAAAAACTCAATTCAAAATAATTATTACCTAAGAGAAACAATTAGATTTGATTTCTTAACCCCTAGAAAGAAACTATTCAATTCGGTTGTAACTAGGGATGGCAATGGGTCTGGGTAGACCCGAGACCCAACCCGGATCCGACCCATTTATTTGGGATCAGGTCCAATTATACGGGCATCGGGTCCAGATCCGAGTCGGGTATTGTGTACCCTTATCGGGTCCGGATTGGGTCTCGGGTCCAATGGTGGACCCTATCCGGACCCGGACCCGGACGCGATTAATATATTACTAATATATTAATTATATATATGAAAAAAATTATTTTTTAATAATATAAATTATATTAAAAATACATTTTTAGTTTTATTTATTTATTTTTATTATTTTATTATATTATTATATATTTTTGAATAAAATATATAAATTTTAATATATGTCGGGTCTGGGTCTGGGTTCGAGTCCAATTTTAAGTTAAATTTTAAAAATTTTAAAAAGAATTCGGGTCTGTCGGGTCCATCAGGTTTTGTCGGGTATTATTCGGGCCGGATCCGGGTATAATCGGGTCCAGTTCGGGTCTCAGGTCCAACCATGTGTATTCGGGTCAGGTCACGGGTCCGGCTGGACCCGACCCATACCCGACCCATTGCCATCCCTAGTTGTAACATATTCAAATGTGAATATAATTATGGATATCCTATTTGAATTGACTGTTGATTATTAGATTAGATTAAATACTGGTACTAAAATATCTAACCAATCTAACAATTTTAAATTCTATTTCCATAATTAAGCAAATACTGATACTCGAAAAGAACTTCTATAAAATAATCATAAATCTAAAAAACAAAAGCACAAAAATTATTGTCCCTCAAACCATAAAAGTTATTCTCTTGTCTATTTGCTTATATACGATCTATGAATCAGTTAGTCTATTGTTCTTGCATGTGCAGTCTTGATTCTGACCATCCTTGCAACCTCTTTTTTATTTTATTTTTGCCCTATTTTTGTAGAAGTTGGGCTTTTGGACCTTGAATTGACTTTCCATATCATAAGGGTATAGATGACTAACTCGGTGGTCTTTTGTTGAAATTTTTTTCTATTTTTCTCAAAATTCACCAATTTTATTATTTTTTTCCTACATATAATAAATAAATAATATATATATTAGGTAGAATCCAATTATAATCAAATAACTATCGTATATAATATAAAATTTAATGCATGCAATTCCTAATTCTCAGATGATTTACTGGAAGCAACAACAGAAGCAGCACGACAACATACTCTTAAAAAGAAAAGGAGAAGAAATAAGAGAAGAAAAGGCAGCCAGAAAAACATCCAAACAACCCATGAACTGCAGTTATTGTCGATTTGTTGGACACAAAGTTGATCAATACAGAAAAGTCTATGGTCTCTTTGGAGGAAAGAAGATTTCCTAGCCCACGGAGGAGATGAAAAGAAGAATAAAACATCACACGTGAATGGAAGCCAAAGATTTCTTCAAATATGTGCAATTTTGCATTGTCTACCACTTGTTGGAATGAAACAAAACTTGGTACTTCGACAGTGGAGCTCGAGGCACATGACAAATCAAAGGGAACTCAATCTGATTTCCATAAAATTGATTGTGGTCATGTGATCTATGGAGATGGAGTCAAATGAAAGATAACCAGATATGGTGCTCTCAAAGCTGATGATCTGCCCAACTTATCAAAGGTATACTTGGTGGAAAACCTCAACACCAACCTTTTTAACATCAACTAGTTTTGTGATGAAGGCCTAAAGGTGAATTTTACCAAAGATTCCTGTAAACTTTATGATGGAAATCATCAAGTGATGGTTGGTTCTTAGTTAAAGAATAATTTTTACATTTTTAAAAAAAAGATGTGAAGTAGCATTGATGACTAGAAAGGAAGAGTTATCCTTATGGAATTTGAGGCTCGAGTATCTAATGTGCAGAATTTGATTCCATTAAGCAAGAAATGAGTTGTTCGGGGTCTGCCTAGGCTATCTAAGGCTGAAAAATTATTTTTGGTAGATTGTTGCAAAAAAACATCGTTTAGATTGTTCGGGGTCTGCCTAGGCGGCTTTCTAAGGTTGATTGTCTAAGACAATAAACATACTGACTAAACGATGTGCACAGATAGATGCTTAGAACTTCTGCACACGGTCTTGATGGGGCCAATTAAGGTTGAAAGCATTGCAGGGAAGAAGTATATATTTGTTGTCTTTGATGACATCTCCAGGTTCACTTGGGTGAACTTTCTCAAAGAAAAAAAAAACGATACCTTCAAAGTATTTGAGGAGTTGTGCAACAAAATTTCAAATGAGAAAGAGTCCACAATTGAAAAAATAGGGGTGGAAATAGGCCAGGCCAGGCCAGGTTTGAATAAATAGGCTTGGCCCGTTTTAAAAATATCTGGCCTAAGTTTGGTCTGTTAGTCTGAAATTGTTTTTTAAAAGCCTGAGCCTAGCCTTTTTAAAAGTCTGGTCTGGCCTACAAGTCTATTTAAAAGACTACATAATACTTTATTTATTTATTTATTTTTAAATTTAGTTAGAAATAAAAAAAATAAAGTACATACAATTATTTAATATATATAAGTTAAAAAATTATATTTTTTTATAATAAATTTATAATTAAAATTATTTAGTAAATATTATTATTAGATAGAAAATTATTTTTAATATATAATAATAAAAAAATATTTTATAAAAATATAATAATAATAAATAGGCCGGCCTGTTTATTAAAAAGATTTTTTTTTTTAATGAATAGGCAGGCCTATTTACAAGGAATTAGGGTTCCTTAACTATATGGAATCGAGCAACTCACGCATTGGGAAACTTTGCTCTCTCGGTTCTACTCCAACTTGTCCCAAGAAGTTTTTGATGAATCTATGTGCGTGGAAAGTTGATTGATATGTCTTCGAAAATGATCAATGGGTTGTTGAAGGTGTCGGGAAACAATCTAGATGAGTGTCCGAGTAGCTGCCTAATAGAGTCCATTGCTGATATTGTAAAAGCCATTTCTTGAGGGAAATCATCCCAATTTGGAAGGAAAGCCATGAGTCCATCTCTCTTATCGGAGAATTATCAGTAAATTTATCAATTTGTGATTTTAATATCCTACCCATAGCTAACTCCCCATCCTTATCCACTTATATGGGCAAGTTGTGTATTCGATTGATAAATATGTTGATCATGTGAATTATAGCCGTGTAATTCTGACTAAAATGCATGAATTTACTAAAAGGAAAATTCTTAAGCACACTAGGCTGCCATACCCTTCCCCCATCACAACTCCCCTTGCTAAAAATGAAGTTATTCTAGATGAAGATAATGAGATAGTGAAAATTTCCTCGCATGGTCCATTGTGCAACCTTTCAATATTTACAATGATTTCAAGGATGGATCTGTCCTCACTGGAGAGGCGTTGGTGCAACTTCTGCAATAGAAAATTATGAGTATGCAACTTGAAGCTCAAAAACATAGTGAAGTGATGTTGAATTTCAAATAAGAGCTTGGTCAAGTATATCGCATACTACCTGGAATCCCAATGTTGGCTCCTACTGCAAACAACACTAATGGTAAGGACGATGATGTTGCGGCTTATGGAGCCTCCACTTCTCACCATACATGAAGACAACCTATTTGGATGATGTCTCCAAAGGGGGAAAAGTTGGAGGAAGGAGATCCAGGGGGAGACAAGGAAAGCCAAGTTGTGGGGGTAGTATTTTTTTAACGTATCTTAAAATTGATGGATTGATATCTTGATGAACTTTGGATTGTTGAATTTTACTTGTGTTTTTTTTTTTTTTTTTTGTGTGATATGGCATAAACTATTATTACTGTCTTTTTGATTGATGATGCATGAATTGAGGGGGATTCCTCACTTTTGATTCATCTAACTTGATTTTGATATGTAAAATCTTGATGAATTGTTGGTTGGATTATTTTAATATTTATTATTTTAAATTTAAATTAATATTATTTATTCAATATGATTTTTAATAAAAATATATTATTTTATTTTAAAAAATATTATTTAAACAATTCAAATTGATAATTTATTTTAAATCAATTTCTATAATATGGAAATTTTATTTACTAAATTATTTTATTAAATAAAATAATAAATTTATTGATATGAAAAAAATTTAAAAAAATCAATGACAAGAAAAAAATTATGTAAGTATTTTTTTATGAATTTTTAAACCTACTTAGCTTTGTGAAAAGAGATAAAAATAAATAAATAAATAATAATAAATAATAATTACATGTCTAAACACGTCACGAGGCTAATAAACTGGGGCAAGGATCGTAGCCGCGCGCAATTAAACTGGGGCGAACTTTGGCCCAAGCAGGAACCGATTTGCATTTGCGAACGTCACTCCCACGACACGACAGGGTTCAAATTCGGATTAACACCTAACTGCCCTGCGGACTTTCCTAGAAAGAGAGAGAGATAAAGAGGGAGATAGAGAGACGGACACAGCTCTGTAATTGTAATTGTAATTGTAGTCTATAGCGTCTACTCTGCTGCTCCAATTTTTGTCAACTTTTTCTATTTTGAATAATTGAAACCCCACAACGGTGCGTGTGGTTTCCATTTCTGTGGCGACTCTCGCTTCGCTTCGTTGTCTTATAAACCCTGCCGTGATCTCCAGAATGGCCGCAGTCTCCGCCGCTGGATCCGCCGCCGCCGTTAGCTCCTGCCGAGTTTTTCCCCGTATAGTCTTCAATTCCAGCCATGTTTTCTTGCCGTTCAAGCCTCCAGGATCTCTCAGTCTGCAATGCCGATCCCTCCACTCCGTCTATTCATCAGGTACAGGATCTGGGACTCTAATTTTTAATAAGGTCGAACTTGTCGGCTTTTCGTACTTCCTACTCGACTCGCCGGCATGGTCGATTATACCTTCGATTGGGCAGATGCTTTGCTTTTGGCATCGGGCGAGTAGCGTTACTTTTATTTAGGGCATAGTGGTATTGAGGGGAAATGTGTGATCGATTTTTGCCCCTAGTTTTGAAGTCCTTTTCATTTCTGCTGATTGAGACCTCATAAATCCATGTCTTTGTGATGCTTGTTACCAAACTTATTGTCGAGAATGCCCTTTGTTTGAATTATTGGGCAGGGATAAAGGCTCATGTGGCCACTGTAGAACAATTTACTACTGAAGCAGAACAGAAAGCCGAGGGTCCTGTTGTTGTTGTTACTGGAGCCTCCAGAGGAATCGGGAAAGCTATTGCTTTGGCTCTGGGGAAAGCTGGTTGTAAGGTTCTCTCTATCTTTTCTCCAAGGGTTCATCTTTATGTAACTTAGAATGTAGATGCCATTTATTATTGGTTTAAGATTTATGCTGTGCCTGATAAAAAATTTCTAATTGGGGTGCCAAGTTATCTGAGCCTTATGTGCGAGCTAGACCTTTGTTATACACTGCATGGGTTCTGGGTTTTGCTCTTTTGGTTACCCTTGAGAACATTTTAAACTGCTAAATGGCTTAGGACCAGTCATCACTATTGAATGCATTTCCTTTTTGTACCTCTTTGTTATGCAATGGATAGCAAGTGCAACATATGGAGCTAATGCAGTGGGTTGAATTTTCTGTTGTATTGTGATGAAACTGATTGTGGACTATTATGACAGGTTCTGGTTAATTATGCGAGGTCTTCCAAGGAGGCCGAAGAAGTTTGCAAAGAGGTAATAATAACCATGCAATCAAATAGATAATCATAAGGATTCTTTTAGTTGTCAATTGTCATCTCCCCAGAAGCTCTGCCCTGCTAAAAGTTATGTCAAGTGGATACTTTGAGATCATGTGCATATGAACTGCCCTTCTGATCATTATGATTCAATCTTTACAGATGTGTTCCTACTTCCTAGATTAAGCTATGTGATTTCCAACACTTTTGATTTATTATATGCTATTACACAACAATTTAGATGACCTCTCACCCCTCTCTCTCTCTCACCCCCCCCCGGCGATTCACACATTCAGCATACATTGATCATATCTGTTACTTATACTATGTTCTATGTCAGTGAAGTAAAAGTGAAAAAGCCTTTCACTTAAGTTATCTTGAATTTCAAGATTTTTGCTGATTTGATTATACCCTTAGTTTTTATTGTTTTAATACATGATATTGAAGAATTTATATTTGATATCATTGCTTCTGGCAGATAGAGGTTTCTGGTGGTCAAGCTCTTAGTTTTGGTGGAGATGTCTCAAAAGAAGCAGATGTTGAGTCAATGATGAAGACTGTAAAGATATTTTTTGATTAATTTTATTTGATCTCAAAAAGCTCATTCTTCATATCATGCAGAATCTAAACTTTTGCAGGTAATTGATACATGGGGAACACTAGATGTAATGATCAACAATGCAGGTAGTGAAAATGGGAACCTTACTTGGTTCAAATACATTTTGGCATTGGTCTCTTAAAAAATTTTCAAAAAAATATCAGGAATCACGAGGGATGGTTTGTTGATGAGAATGAAGACATCTCAATGGCAGGAGGTCATTGATCTCAATCTTACCGGGGTGTTCCTTTGCACGCAGGTCAATTTTTGTCACATCTGTTGATTTAACCATAAAATTTTCTTAGTTATTATACATCAGATATTTTCATTCGTGCAGGCTGCAGCCAAGATTATGATGAGAAAGAAGAAGGTATATCTATATTATCTTTCTTAGGTTCACGTCGCATTTTTTTTTTCCAGTATGACTGTTAAAACATTCAATTTATATGACATTTTTCTTTCTTTCGATTGTTTTTTAAATTTCATTCTTAAAGATAGAGGAAGCATAATGTAATCCAATTTGTCATGCTGTTTTCAGGAATAATATGGAGTGCTGGGTGTGTTCCTTTGTGTTTTCATACTTGTTTCTTTGTACTAAATTTCTATTTTTATTTAAAATATTATGTCAAAGATATGTACGCTATATTTAAAACATCACAGTAAAACTTATTTTCAATTCAAAATTTTTATTAATTCCGAAAAATAATATGGCCTAAACACCCAGAAAAAGAGTAAAGTACATTTTTAGTCCATTTACTCACTCGTCTTAATTTTAGTCCTATTTTTAAAATGAAAATTTTGATTCCTTATTCATTCAATTAGTTAATTATAGTCCTTATTTATTAATTTCTTAAAAATATTAATAACAATAATTATTATATTATTTTCATCCAAACTTATGATTCTTACTCATTTCTTAAATCAACTTATTATTCCTCCATCCCAGATAGAAATATAGTCTTAATTGGATTGGACACGGGATTTAAGGAATATTAATATTATATTGGTAGTTGGTAAAAAATATGAATAAAAGATTTTTTTTGCCCTTGTGAGTGTATTAGTGTAAAAAGTAGTGACAATTGTATAATAAAAATGAAAAAGTATGTGTAGTTTTATGGTGATATGGTTGTTTATGGAAATAAGACTATTATTTTAGGACGGACAAAAATGGTAAACAAGACTATTGTATTGAGACGAAGGAAGTATTTTTTTTCAAACATTCTTACCGAACAAGTCATTTCAAAAAAAGCCTAAACACCCAATTTAAGAATCACCTATCCAAACAACATAGTTATTAGCCGCTTGTCTTAAATTGTTGGCATAAGAAAGTGAAAGAGCTGTTGTTTTATTATTTATTTATTTATTTTTTGTGGATAAGGGCATGGCGTTGAATGTGGAGGAGTATATATATTGTCATTGACATGTACAACAATGAGAGTAATTTTTGTAAGGCAATTTTTGTTTTTGTTTTTTATTTATTTATTTATTTTTTTAAATTTTTGATGAAACTGAAGATGAATAAGGAGAAATTGAATTTTGTGGTGTATAATGCTTTAATAAACGGATATTGTAAAAATAATAAGATTATGTATGCGCATTTGGTTTGGTGTAATATAAAAGATTGATGTGTGAATTGGATGTTTAGGTTTGTGTCCAAATGGCTTGTTTGGATGGACGTATAGTTAGTTTAAGGTTAGGTGGAAATAATTGGGGTACAAATAATATAGATTAATTTAAGGATAAAATGAGAATGATGTATTTGGATAGCGATCATATAATAAGTATATTAATTTTTTCAAGGAAATGATAATTGTGGAAAAATTAAATTATATTAATAGATAAGTGATTAAAATTGTTATTTTAAGAATATGACTAAAATTGACACAAGGATGAATGAAAGAGACCCAAAATGAATTTTATCCCACCAAAACACAAAGGAGCACACCTCACTCTGGGTCTACAATGCAATTATGCAAGTTCACTTATTTTACTTGTAGAAAGGTTTTAATGTTAGCTGGTTATTTGGCTGTGCTAGGGAAGGATAATAAATATTTCATCTGTTGTTGGCATTGTCGGAAATGTTGGGCAAGCCAATTATAGTGCTGCAAAAGCTGGGGTAATTGGGTTCACAAAGACAGTTGCTAAGGAGTACTCAAGCAGAAACATTACTGTGAGTTGCAGGAAATATAAACTTTATTTAGTTTAGCTGTAAATGTAATTATTAGATGTTTTTGAGCTGCACAACCAACTTAGGATATCATGATAAAAAAGGCTTGTATTGACAGGTAAATGCAGTTGCTCCTGGGTTTATTGCATCTGATATGACTGCCAAGCTGGGAACAGACTTTGAGAAAAAGATACTGGAGGCAATTCCATTGGGTTTGTTTCCTCTTATCCATAACATTTTTATCCATCTTTCTTACCATGATATGGAACATAACCAGATTCAATTGACTCCTTATTTATTTTTCTTGCTCCACACTTTCCCTTGTACCTGCTACACCTCCATTTTCCCCCGCAAGATAAATGTTATCCTGCATGTCATTTTTGCTGGAAATCATGGCTTCATGTTGACCTACTTTTTCCATCTTTATCTCATTTTTTATTTTAAATGTATATATTTCTTGGAATTGGACTGGTTTCCTATTTCATATATTTTCATGTTCAGTCATGTAATTGGAAATGTTAAGAGTAGGTGGTGGTTTTGGACTGGTTTCCTATTTCGGGTGTGTTTGTTTGAAGGATTTTGGAAGATTTCTACTATTCATCCAATTTTTTCCCCCCAAAAACATCACATCAAACACCTATTTTTCATTTTTTATATTATACTAAAAATCAATTTTACATTCAAAACATCACATCAAACCCTATTTATATCACATCATACAACTATTCAAATTCAAAATTTTTACTATTCAAATCCCAATCCAAAATCCAAACCCCCAAACAAACACACCCGACATATATTTTCATGTTCATTAATGTAAATGGAAATGTTAAGAATAGGTGGTGGTTTTGGAGACTGACGTTACTCAGAGAAACTGTTCGATACTTTTAAGGGGTCTTTTGATAAAATTAAAGGCATGCTTGATACTGAATTATTAAATTGTTGAATTGTTAAGCTCTATATTTAAAATACTTTTGATGAAATTTAATACATTGTTGAGTTTTTAGAATGTTTTGTTTTGTAGGTAACATATATCTTCATCGTTTAATAAGTCACATACTTATCACTTTTTAAATTTATTTTATATTGAAAACTTAGCCACACTGTTGAATAAGATTGGCTGCTATTTTCTATATTACTAAGTTTAATTAAGAATAATTAAGTTCAAGTAATAAGGGGGGTTACTAACCTAGCATTAATCCTTATCTATATGAAGGATAAATCTGTTAAGTAATCCTTGATGACGTTTAAGTATTCTAAATCCTTCGGAATCATTCCATTGCAACACCGACTGAATTTTGCTCTGTGTGCATATATATATAAATATTCAGGAAGGTATGGCAAACCAGAAGAGGTGGCTGGGCTTGTGGAATTCTTGGCCCTTAATCCTGCTGCTGCTTATATCACTGGACAGGTAAGAATATCCTTCCATCTTGCATTGCATGCATATCACTGCCGCATATGTTGTGTGGATTTGCCATTTTCTGCCTTGGCTCACATATGAATTCTTCTGCTTCCACACAGCCATACTTATTCTGCAACTAGTAATTTCTACCTTGTGTTGTTTTAACCATCACAGGTATTAAAGATTGATGGTGGTGTGGTCATGTAGAGACTTTTTTTCGCAGACTCAAGTAGATGTCCTACTTACAGGCAACATACCCCATGAACAACATTAGGTTGGCTAAGTTTGTACCAAATTTTGCAGTATGGTTTGATTAAAACATGAAAGTGACTCGTTTCTGGAGGTAACTTTTGGCAGGTGGTAAGATTACAATATATAATGATTTTAATTGTTTTTTTTCTTTTTTTACAATTCGTTTGAGCCAAAGTGGACTGTTTAAGGACTCCAAACGGGGATCAAGCTGTACTTAGTTCTTCCGGTACAAGCAATACAGTCAAGTACAAGTAGCCCAGCCCGTTAAAAAGGTCTAAGTCTAGCCTAAGTAAGCAAGTGCTAAAATTAATAGAATTTAACAAGGTAATAAAACAAGCAAAAATTACTAAGGCCGGATATCATCAGTAAAGCAAGTCATGATAGCTAACGCCAAAAGCTAAAGCTTGGGACTCCAGTTGCATATGTCCGAAGAAAGCCACGAGCCACCGCCGGGATTTTTGAAGGACTAAGGATATGGGAACCCGTGATAAAACAAGTTGTTGTCGATAGAGTATCCACCACTTGGTTTCCCTCTTGATAGATATAGAAAATCTACCAAGTAGTGCCGCGTAGCTGCAATCGAAGTCGGAGAAGGCAATGTGCAAAGTCTAATGTCCTGTCGATGAAGAAATCAAAGCAATACTTGTCGCCGAATCTGTCTCAATCCATATCTGCAAGAGACCATGCTCGACTGCCAAGTCAGCACCTTTCCGAATCGCCTCTAACTCCGTAAAAGTATTCGTTGCAAAAGAAATCAGCGACTGGAAAAAAATGACCGACGCTCTTAAGGAATCCCGGATGATACCTGCAGCTTCCGGCGGCCCAAGATTTCCCAATGATGTACCATCGGTGTTCAATTTGAACCATCCCGATGACGGAGCCTCCCATCGGACAAGAACCGGAGGTCGAGGAGCCGGTGAAGGATATCAAATCCCAGGGCGCGTCGCCAATGCAAGATCTCCATCTCAATGCTTCCGAGAAAGTATGTCGGCAAGCCTCAATATCTGTAAATGGAAATACACGCGCTAAATGATCTTATCGGAAGAAAAGAGTATACCTTGGTGTTTAGCGTCGTTCCGGACGGTCCAAGTAAACTACATAATCAACATGGGAATAAGAGCCCGGATGCTCTGAGATGTATCGTTGATAATCACCACGAAGATATTACAAGGTGTGGAACATGTGTCTCCGACATAAAAATATGAAAAAGCTCCGCAAAGTGGTGCCAAACTCGCCGAATGACCGCCGACTCCAAAAAAAGATGGGAGATTGTCTCCTCCGATCGACAACATTGACATTTCGATACAATATATATACCATAGTGTCTAAGGACCTAATCCACCAACAATCGTTGGTGAAATAAATGCCAAAGAAAGATCGGCATCGTAGGGGTGAGGAGGCGTGACCATAAAACTCCCCAAAGCCAACTCTGCGGCCTAACCTCCCGACAAGAATCCCAAACCAATGATGTAGTAAAAACTCCGGAGCTAGAATCCCTCCATATTATCCGATCATCAAACTCTCTATCAACCGAGACATTTGAAACCCAGCGAACAAAGGACTCCGGGAGGTACGTCCACAATCTCTGCAAATTCCGAGAATTGTTCCGCCACATGTCACGAACAAGACAATCCGGTAGGCGAGTGTCACAAAAAGCCAATAGGGGCTGCTTCCCACACCAAATATCACCTAAAAAAAAGTCTCCCAGACCTAGACACCAAAAAATCCGAGATAGTGTCTTCTGGCGAACTCCGTACAAACGTTTTCACACTGGACTATCATAACTCCGGCATGGAGCGTCCCCCGGAAAAGATGTGCGGAAATACTTGTCTTCATAGCATGAGCCCACAACGAGAACCATCCCGAAGTCGCTACCAAAACTTATGAGAAAATGCCTCCGCAATATCCGAGAGCCTCCGAATACCCAAGCCTCCTTCCTCCACCAGCCTTGTGGTATCTTCCCAAGCAATCCAATTGCGCCGTTGATGGCCATGGTATAATCCATAAAAGAACCTTGCAATCAACTGCTCCATCGAGTGAAGGACTGTATTCGGTGGCTGAAAAACTTGTAGCAAGTATAAGGACAAAGAAAAAAGGGTGCTCTGGATCAATTGAAGACGACCTCTATGCAAAATAACGACCCTATCCCACTTTGCCAAGTACCTCCGGAGCTTGCCGAGGAGCTCCTCATACAAGATGTTCCGCCGATTTTCCATATAAAGTGGGCTCCTAAGTACTTCAGTAGAAGTTCCGCAACTCCAAACCCTATAGCCATCCGAAGCAGCCCCCGAATTTCCTCCGAACATTAGAGACTAAAGACTATATGGCTCTTTTGACGATTCACCTTTTGCCCGGTGATCCACGCATAATCGTATAAGTCCGTCTAAGAACCAATCCGCAAGCTATCGACGTTAGCAAAAATTAAAACATCATCCGCATACGCCAAGTGAGATAGCCGAAACCCACCCCGGCATCGGTAAAAGAGATCCGGGTTCCTAAAAAAACAAACACTCAAGTTCTCTTGATAATAAATCCACCGCCAAGACAAATAAAGTCGGCGATAACGGATCTCCTTGTCTCACACCTCGAGAAGATTTCAAAAATTCACCCAAGTCTACATTCACTAACACCGAATACCAAACGGTCTCCACACAACCCATGACAAGCGTAACGAATCTCTCCGAAAACCCAAATCGAACAAGCGCATGCTTAAAAAACCTCCAAGATACCCAATCATAAACTTTATTCAAATCCAACTTCATCAAAACAGTATGGGCAACCCCCCTATTGTTCAAATCATGCACCATCTCCAACGCTATAAAAATATTACGGGGAAAGGAGTCTCGGCAACAAGGAACCAAGCCGAACGGTGAACAGCTTCATAATGATTTTATTACTCACATTGCATAGGCTAATCGGCCTACAATCCGCCCAAGACATTGAACCCTCTTTCTTCGGAATCAAAACTATCGTCGTTACCGTATAAAATTTCGGGAGAGGAGTTCCCGAAAAGAAGTCCAAGACCGCCGCTAGAACATCTGGGCCTATTATACCCAACAATGCCTATAGAAGGTCGCTGAAAAACCATCCGGGCTGGCCACGCTATCCGGATCAATAAAAAACATCACCTCCCTAATATCCACAAGCATTGGCAATGCCAAAAGCTGCAAATTCTCCTCCGGTGGTATTTTCGGAGGCGGATCAATAAGATCATCCATCTTCGTGGTGTCTGCATCATCCTCCTCCCCAAACATAGATGAGAAATACCTCACGGCCGAATCTTTTGACCTCTGAATTTGTCGATAATGACCGATCTCTGTCTCGCATAAAAAAATATAGATGCACTTATATATTGGATAATATTAAAATCTTGTTGGTTTTCAGCAGTGTATACCGATATGATAAGGTATATTCTTTAAGGTGATGGTCAATATAACTAAAAAGAATACATTTTCTTTTTATAAACACTTGGAATTTTTAAAGTTCATCCCCGCCATGCATATTATCTTTGATATCTAGTGGATAACTTCCGCACTCAGGTATGTGTAGAATATATGTATCATTAATTATAATATGTAAAACAAGGTAATTGTTTTTTGATATGTAATGCAAAGATATTTGATGTACAACAAGAGATGATAGACGTTTGTTTTAAACAACGCTGGTTATGCTCCCTAACAGAAGAATTTTGAGCAACATATAGTGTATATTGCGAAGGCCATGCCATTTGCCCAAAACTTCATTGCACAATCTCAGCTCTAGTGTTCGGCAAATTCTCTATTCCAATAGACTCATTGAGGGATAATAGAAAACAATATAGTCGAGTCGTGGAATAGTTGGATGTGCTCAGCAAGGTCATTGCCTTTTGTCCAACCAGGCCGGCAAAAAAGAAGCTGTTTGAATCACATCAGGTGAAACAGTCTAAAAAATATGGTCGTTGTGGTCGTCTAGGTCTTAACCGACAAAGTTGCAAGAAGGCTCTATCGTAGGTATTTCTGGTTTGTCATCTTGTGGCTAGAATTTTCTTTTATTTTTGTAATATTGTACATTGAACGTAATTTCGTGTACGAAACCATTATTGAATGATTTGAACATTAAATTATATTCTCTTGTATATTATTGGGCGTACACAACTATTTTATCGGGACACGTATCATTCCGAACTAATTATTTTTAAATACAAACAAAGGTATGTGAATTCACAATGAAAGTGCGTTACAAGTCATTGTAGTTATATAAAATATGAACAAGAGTAATAAGTATTAACAACGATAGTACATTGCACATGACATTTTTTTTATTAAATTTTACGTAATACTTGAGGTCTTTTTTGTCCCCTAAGGACTCGTTACAGTATAACATGGACTATTGTGTACCCCCAACGTTTATCTAAAATCACATTAACATAAATCACATTTATTTATACAAGTATTTAATTTTTGCGATGGAGTTATTACAATGAAAATATTAGTATATTGTGACGTTCATAGAGTATATTCATTAATACTAGAGGTATACATATCCGAGTAAGAAGTTACGCTTTTGTGTATGAAAGTATTCATATTCGTATAGAGGTATAATTATTGTAAATATGAGTATTTAATTATCTATCCAGAACTTTTCATTTATTGTTACTGTATCAAACAATTACTAGTTGATTACATCACACTCATTGGCTCAAAAGTTAGCGTCTATTAACGGATATTTTTAAAATGACTTATGAGATTACTTATTCATGTATTCAATGTGGATGAGAATGTCACTGATGTGGTACAAGGGGTTCGGCCCTTGCAAGTTTACCCTTGACGGAAACGGGCATGAACCCACCTTCTATGGGTTAGGTTTATTTGAAATTCAAATTTCAAATTCTAATTTATTAGCTTTAATTTTAATTTATTGTCTTAAATTTTAATTTATTGTCAGTTATTCTTATTTTGAATTTGGAATTGTTTAGTATGGTATTTAAATCCCTACTTTAGGACTTTTGGGGATTATGGATGAAATAAAATATTGGTGAATTATCCGTTTGGTTAAGGGTAATTGGGGAACACACTGTTGTTCTTGTTTCTATTCCTAACAATTGGTCCAACCTGCTGGATCCATTTCTGTCAAGATGGTTGTGTCACACGGAGAGCGCTTGA